AATTTTACTTCGTTTTTGTATTTAATTTTGTCGTTGCTTATTTATTGAATTTTGTAATAACATTGATAAAGGCCTGATGACAGGCTGAAACGTTTGTTCTTTAATGTATAGTTCAATGGTTATAAATTAATACACGATAACCTTCGCACGAATATCTGGCTGTTGGCTCTTTACGCTCCTATCAAATTCATTGATTTTAACAATCATCAGAGCCTGATACATCTATAATTTATAAAGAAATATATTATTTTTGTTAGGAGTTTATATTATATAAATACTACTACCAAATACCTTCCAACTTGTTTGGCAATAAGTTTCAACATTTACACTTCTACATAAAGCTATAATAAATGTTTGTAATGAATCAGATTGCATGTTACTGTAACACATAATTGCATCAAGAGCTTCCAAACATCCAGAAACAACTTCAGTATTATTACTGTAATAACACAAGTAGGAAATATATCTGAAAGAATAATTATGATAACATGCTGTACATTACATGATTTAAACTAAAAAAAAAAAGTATAATTTTTAGAGTATTTACTGAACAAGACCAGATACAATATCCTCATCAATATAAGCCGAGTTAAATTTGATAACATTTACAAGAAGAGACAAGAACTCAGCTCCTCTCTTTCCATCTCCTGCTGTTACCGAAGGCATCCAATCTAACAAAAAAGGACCCATTCTCTCTTCCAAATGTGAAATGTCTTTTCCATGTTCTGTTAATGTTTGTAACAATTCCAATCTAAAATATTTAAATGGCAGCAGAAGTTATACATTGAAATATAGATATATTAGATATTGATAATACCTAGGGCCAATATCTTCGGGTATTCCTTCCTTTATCACCATAAAAAATTTTACACGCATTAATGCTGAGAGTTTGAAATATTGTCCTTGTACAAGGCATCTTAAAAAATTTAATGTCAAATGCCTGTGTTCACGAAGAACATCTTTTCCTAATAAATCTTGAACTAAACTCCATAAACGTTCTGCTGCTTTCTATTATTAATAATGGCAAAAATTATATATAAAACATTCAGTTCCCATTACACTTGTAAAGTATTTAGAAGAATGACACAATATAGTTTCTTATACATACATCTTCCCATTGTTGATTGAGCACAGCATCCGAAAGTTCTTTAATTGCTTTTGTACGATGATGTACTGGACTGTCAGGACTGATTTCTTTTTCGATATCATGTGTCAAAATAAAATCTTCACGACTTTTGTAACTACCTGCAATCGGTTAATATTATCGGTTAATATTATTATATTAAGGATGTAATATTTACCACAATATAATTCCATTATACGAAACATCGAAAACAATATAATTACCTTTATTTATGCGAAAGAATTGTTTCAGTTTATCATGTAATGTTTTATTATCTTTATCCTTCGAACTCATTTTGGACATTTTAATTTCGATTTCAAAGAAATATGTGTATGTAAAATAAATATCCTGTAAATATTACACTGAACATGTCTAAAACAGATGTAATTGTACCCAGAAAGTGAGAGAATCTATGAGAACTAAAAACTGGTAATAATCATAGAATAGCAACCACTAGCAACAGCTGGTGATACAATCACCACAAAATGGCCGTATGTCGCTGAACAGAAGATTCCAACAGCAACCAATAGAAAACGCGTATGTGATAGCTAGGACTCTAGTGTAATTGACTGCATTGACGAAAACATCCAAAGAGTTTACTACCACAGTTTCAAGTAATCTATGATCTCTCTCGTTTTTCGAATATTTCGTATTGTAATAAGTTTTTGCCTAAAGAACAGAATAAAAGACTAAAAGATGATACAGTGCCGATTGTTTTTACGTCACTTTCCCGAATTATCGTTTCGAAGATATGTAGAATTGCTAGTTTTAATTCATTCATTACAATAGCTTATGAATATATTTTTACGCAGGATACTTAGCGCAGAGCTATGCTTAGTTTCGCTATTTGCCTCTTTTGCGCTATTTGTATCGGCACATGTATTCTTCTTCTATCCTTCTAAATCGCAATCGCAAATTTTCTTATTTTCTACTAATAAAAGATTAATATTCCGTTAAATGTTGCATACTAAGTTTTATAATTATATTTTATCAACAACTAACGTTACACATATACAAGATAAGAATAATAATTTTTCTCCAAGATTATTTTAACATGCTTTAAAATCAAATTTGAATCATAATATAAATTAACTATGAACTAATATTTTCCAATTCAAGAAAAATTTACAAAATATATATAAGATATCCTAAATTACTGCACTCATTTCTGATCATAATAATTAATAATTAAAAAATAAAATATTAAAACGGATTAGTGATTTAATTCATAAGAACAAAAATTGTTAGATTTTTATAGTAGTCTAAAATAATTAAAAAATTATTCTAGAGAAATTACATAGTATTGAAAAATTACTTCAAAGACTATTTGTTAAGCAAAGGTTCCAGATCTCTTCAAAACTAAAATATTTTTATATAAATTATGAAAAACAATATAAACATTTTGCCTTTATTTATATGTTTTTAAAATATATTTATATATATTTATATATATTAGGTCTTGTATTTTAGTTGTGTATTCCTTTCTTTATATTATTTAATTATTTCCATATAGGTATGTGTGTGTGTACTCTTTTTATTTAAAATTTTTTTTTAAATTTATTTCAAAACAAATATAAAAGTAATTATTATGAAAGCCTAAGTCAAACGCTATCGTTATACGATTGCAAAATGTATTATTCGAAAATTATTTTTTTCGATTACTAAATTGGAAAATTATTGGAGCCCGTTTGCTACAAAAATGTTTAATGTCCAAAATTAAAATAATGTGATATTTTAACAGGAAGGTAATTAAATACTTTTAATATACATTATCCTATCTATCTTAATATATACCAAGTTATAGAATAAAAAAGTGCTATAATTTAGGATAATTTAAGACATTCTTACATAAATTTTGTAAAAAAAATTGGATTCTTAGTACTGGATTTTAGTCACCTTTATGAATGTCTACCGGTGACGCGATCTACTATTGCTTGCGTCAGTACTCTTTCTGCTACATTTCGTGCGATATTTGTCAATTGTTCACGAAAACCAGGTTTCTTAGTAGTTGTCATATAATTCTGATTTTGATATCCTTGCGGATAATTTTGTGGATAACCATTTGAATTTCCTTGATTAGGAAGATGTTGATTACCATATGGATAATTTGAAGGATATCCTGAGTTTTGATTCGGATAGTTACCGCGATATGATGGATTTCCATCTGGATATGCAGATGTACGTGGATAACTTGGATAACCGGCGTTAACAGAGCTAGCACCAGTTCGGCCAACACTTCCTTCGTTATAAGGATTTCTGAAATTACCTGGATATCCTGAAGAACCACTATGTCCGTTCGGATATCCAGATCCTGTTGCAGGATTAGATGGATAACCGGAAGATCCACTCGAAGGATAACCAGAGGATCCACTGGAGGGATAGGCAGAGGATTGACTAGATGGATAACCAGAAGATCCGGAACTTGGGTATCCGTTACGACTGGGATATCCTAAACCAGATGGATATCCGGAAGATCCAGTCAGATACGATTGGCCGTTCAAGTTAGAAGTATCTGAGGATCCGCGAGGACGCGTTTCGGTTTCCGTTGGATAATTGCTCTGTTGTGTTGGAATTCTGGCCTGCATTTCGTCGTACTCTGTATACAATAATATTAATAAAAACAATAGCAACAATAACATTAATAGATTCAAAAATAAAAATAAAATAATTACACACACACACACACACAATGATTAATAATCGTTAATATATCTATTAACTACTAGTCAAAAGAGGAATATGCACGTAAAGCGGAGTGAGCGTAATATTGCAATGAGGCATAATTCAAAGTTAATAAATAAAACAGAATGAACAAAAACAATATGCACCATGCAATAAATATTGATGCATAAACAGGCACAGCGCTAAGTTGTTTCCAAAATCTAAAACAGCCTTATGTTATTCCAAAAGCATTATTTAGAAATCATACATATACAATATATTATTGTGGAATAAAAATATTTTTATATAAAAATATCAAACACTTTCTGTACTTGATGTCGGTATAATAGATTGGAGATAGGTAATATTGATAATTGCTAAAATGTTTTGTCACATATCAAACCATTTAGCAGGAATAACACATTATTTTCTTTAAAACATTCTTTAAAACTTATTTGTCGTCAGTGTGTGTATTCAGTTTATTACATAGTTAGTTTGGAATGCATGTCATGATACAGTTAAATAACAAGAAAAATATTATATATATATATACACACACGTTAAAACTACATTACCTGTGTTTGAGTTATATAAAAAAAACCTATATTAAAATTTATTAAAATTTTATTTAATAAATAGCTAGATTTGGATTAATAGAATTGGGAAGACAATGATAAATATAGCAATAACCATGATATAAATAAAACACAACATTTTTAATTAAATCGCCACAGTGTCATGACAGAAAGAAATAACCCAGAGAATCCGATCAAAATTTTGGAGGCAACCATCGCGATTGATGCAGCATTCCTACGATATGAATTCTGGTTGTGTCCACGCTGATTCGGATTTTGTGGATAATTTGTGGGAGCCTGCGGAAATCCTGTGAACTGTGGATAACCTTGTCCCGGGACGGGCATTCTGTTTTGTGGATATGGTGGATATCCTAAGTCATGTTGACGACCAGGCTGATTGTTCGGTTGAGATGGATATCCATTTGCAGAGGAACCGATGTTGCTGGGATATGGCGGATATCCTAAATTGCTTCCGTGAAAAGACGGGTGATATTCATCGTTTTTACCAGGATCCATCGGTGGAGCGTTGGCATTCGCATATGGATTCTTATTATTTCCGTTCAGTTGTTCGCCATTCACGTAAGAAATACCGGCTGATTCATAGCCTGCAAGGATATTTACTTGCTTCGTGTTGTACATATTTTTAGCAAATTTATAATAGAATAGAATATTAAATTACACGTAACATTGTGCAAGATATAATAATGATTATAATAAGTCTCGAGTTTTATTTTTATTAAATAATTAAAATATTTATTAATTTTGCCACAAAAATTAAAATCGAGTAATTACGTAAAAATATTTTATTTTAAATTAGAGAAGAGTAGAAAAATAATAGATTTTATAAACACTAGACTTCAGAAATTTTGATTATAATATCTCGATAAAATAATGGCTATAAAGAAACAATTAAATATACATAAAAATTATGTATTAGTCAAAATTTTGAAATTTTGAATTGTGCACCTAATATAGCAATTAAAAGTTGGAAAAACAAATTTTGTATAAAAGATTTTTTCAATAAATTAAAAAAATTTTTAATTAAAAATTCAAGATAAAATATGATTTAATCAACAAATTGTTATTAATGCTTAACTTAAATAATATGTAAATTTAAATTAAAATTTAAAAATATAAATTTTATTTTATATTTTATAAGATTAATATTTTTGTTAAAATTTAAAATTTGAATGTCAGTCAAATTTAAAAATATTAACTTATAAAAGTCAAGTTTGTTGAGAAATAGAATAATTTTATAAATTTGCTATACTAAAAATACTATATTGATTTTACAAATTTTAACTAGGTATTTAAATTCAGAGACTCCAAAAACTTATCGGTACCGTGTTTTGCGAAAATCATTACAAAAATAATGCACATATGCAATAATTTTTAAATTATTTCATATAATTAAATATATATATATATATATTAGTGTGCAGACAAAAGACAAAGGCTTTTCACAATAAATAAACATAAAACAGATGTATGTTTTCCCTTTATCTTTTCCAAAATCATGCCTTCTTCATTCAATTTTTGTACATGCTACGAAATATGCTAGCATAATGTGTGTGTGTGAAGATTTCCATAAATATGAACATTCTTTTATGAATATAAAAGTTGCACTTTTACGATCTTAAATTTACTTTACTTAGACAAAATTTTGTCTTGCATTTCATGCATTAATTGCGTTTGAATGCTCGCAATGTTGTGTTCCAAGTATTATATGCCAAAAATATAAAAGATTATAAAAACTTACCTAATCCTGTAGATTTTCTCACGCATTTTGGTGCACCATTTTCGCTTTTACAATATTCGTTTTGTCCGCAAACCGTAGTAGTACAGCTTACATCTAAACATAGTTTTAAAAAATTAATATAACGTTAAGTATTTTGTAAAAGATAAACGTTTTTTCTAAAAAAAAAATCCATTTTCACTAATATATGTGCATGTGCGTGCGTAAATTGCGTGAAATTGCCTTTTTTTCAATGAAAATCAAGCAAAATTAATTTTGCAAGTATTTTGCGTACACGGTGTGTATATATGTATAATAAAACAGTATTAATCAAAAAGTGAATAGTTCCATGAATATTTTACAAGATATTTTACAAAAATTCTAAATTGATAAAATCAGTTTCTATATTATTATTTACCGCTTATCCTTTTACAGGTTGGATATCGTCCGCATTGATCTGAATGTGATCCGTAACAAGGATCCTCAGCCATAACGCATGTTTCATCACTACGACAGCCAATGTCCTTACAAGTCCTTCCATACTCTAAAAATAAAAATAAGAAAAATATTTTTAATATATTACATATTTTATTATATTATTAAACAATTACACCATGCGATGTAGAATGTTTAGAAATTAAAAAAAGGAAAATAATTTGATTTTTTATACATATGTTCATTTTAAAATCCAATTTTTCAGAATTTGATTTTTACGTCTGTACGTCTTACGTGTCTTGGATAAAAGTTATGTGCTTCAAAGCTTGAAAGAATCAATATTTTGAAAACTATGATCAAATCTGATCAAAATCAATTTCTAATATACTCTATGTGTAATAAAAAAACTAATAGAAAAAAAGATTACAATTACAAACTAACAGAAACGTTTTACAATTAGCCAATTTTTGAGTTCTTTTTAGTTTGATAAAATTGTAATAGTGATCACGCGTAAACAACGTGCGGCAATCAATGCGTATAAATTTTTGTTTGACCTTTCAGCTAAAAAGATAAAATCTAAAAAATAAATATTACTTCAATGTTAGTGTCCTTCTTTTAATCCATTAACACCTTAATATTTGGCATATTATTATGGTTACCCAGATAGCACATGATATTCTCAGTATATTCTATAAATGTACGAATGTACGGAGAATATACAAGAATATTTTCACAATATTCTTAGAATATCTGAAATATGATATCCTTTTTGAGATACACTAAGAATATGGTCAGAATATCTGAAATATAATTTTCATTTTTAGATATACTGAAAATATGCTTAGAATATCCAAAATATGATTTCCGCCTTTAGATATACTGAGAATATGCTTAGAATATCCGAAGTATAATTTCTGTTTTCAGATATTGTGAGAATATGCTCAGCATATCTAACATATAATATTCAATTTTTGTAGTATTCCTACAGATGGCGGTATGACTGCTATAATCTAGCACAGAGTTGGGAAGTAATGCGTTACTTGTAACGCCGTTACCGTTACAATTACTTTTTTTCGATAACTGTAACGGTAACGGCGTTACAAATTTTTTTTGTAACGAAAAAAGTAACTTTGTTACATTTTTCGGTAACGAGTAACAAATTTAACAGTTACTTTTATCGTTACATTTTTCAAATTTACTCTATATATCTACAAATTTATAGAAAAACTAACAATAAGAAAACTTTTTAATTTATACAAATAATATTAAGATTTTGCTCTTCCTTATTAAAATAATAATCGTGAAAACAACAAGCTAATGGAGCAGGAGCCGGATAGAATTGCTCAAAAGTTCATTTTATTAAAGAATTATTACAAACGTTTCGGCCTAAGGGATGTGGCCATCTTCAGTGTAAAATTGACAAAAATGATGTAGTCGTAAGTAGAGTAACGTTGATAAGATAGTTAAGCTAGAAATGCTCTCGAACAATGATTATGATTTTGGTAAAACATCCTGTTAATGTAAAACGAAACACGAGTTAGAAGCGTTATCAAAGCCCAAAATTAAAAAAATTTTTGTGTATAAATACCTCTGATAATACGGTTTGTACATTTTGTTGCATAGTCTTATTAAAGTGTGTAAAGTGTGTAAAGCCAAGGACCATCTAACTTGCAATTAGAAAAAACAAACAAGATTTAAGAAATTAGTCGAAAATTATCTAAAATTATCTAAAATTAATCTTGTTTGTTTTTTTAATTGCAAATTAAATGGTCCTTGGCTTTACACATTATTAATAAAACTAGCAACGAAATGTACAAACCGTATTATCAGAAATATTTATACATATAAATTTTTTCAATTTTGGGCTTTGATAACGCTCCTAACTCGTGTTTCGTTTTACATTAACAGGATGTTTTACCAAAATCATAATCATTGTTCGAGAGCATTTCTAGCTTAACTATCTTATCAACGTTTCTCTACTTACGACTACATCATTTTTGTCAATTTTACACTGAAGATGGCCATATCCCTTAGGCCGAAACGTTTGTAATAATTCTTTAATAAAATGAACTTTTGAGCAATTCTATCCGGCTCCTGCTCTATTAGCTTGTTGTTTTCACAATTTTTAATTTATATTTACAGCATCTAAGAATTTTTAAGAAAGCTTGTTTACAACTTTATTTAAAAAATTTTTCTTATTTAAAATATCTTATTATCAAAATTATTACTTTTATTATATATTATTAAAATTATTACACTTTATATTAATAGCAATATCATTATTAAAATTATATCATTTTTGTTACTTTAATAAAAATAATGTTTAAAAATTTTTATGTTTACTGTAAATTTGTGGTGTTTAATTTAATCTTGTATTAAAAAAATTGTGCATAAAATTTGTATTATATATAAAAAAAGTAATGGAAATTGTAACGATTCGTTACTTTTTGAGTAACGATAACGATAACGAGTTCCTTTTTAAAATTGATAACGAGTAGCGATAACGAGTTACTTTTTAAAAAAAAGAACGGTAACGGTAACGAGTTACTTTTATAAAGTAACTTTCCCAACCTTGATCTAGCATTCAATAAATTGTTAGATTACAACCTATTCTAAGTGTATCCACGTGAAAAGATCGTGTGAGAAGATTAAAATTGTATTAATACAATATTAATACGAGTGTTATGTATCACACAATTGTGTTTAATTGACGGTATTTATATAAACGGTAAGTAATGTCAAGAAATGTCTTAATTATATATATTTCAATTTCATAATGAAACCTAACCTAACCTGAAAGCATAACTTAAGTTATGCTAATTAGCCTAAATATTGCAATTATAATTCAAATCTTTATAAATATATTTCAGCATTATTGGATTACAAAACATTCAGTTAATGGCCACATGCAATTATTTATTTACGTACACTTTTGATATTAAGTATACCATTGAAAGAATATTAATCGAGACTGTAATTACAGATGTGGTGAGATGTAAATACCAAAAATGTACTAAAGAAGAATTTTCGGCGCCTATTAAAACTTGGTTGGCTCACGCTAAAGAGAGAATCCAAAAAAATTCAAAATAAGATATATATACTTACTTTTTAAAAATAAAATAAAAAAATATAATATAAAAAATATAAAATAAACTGTAACTAATAAATAAAAAAAAAAAAAATTAAATAATATATATATATATATTATATATATATATTGCTATCAAATAATATATTGCAAAAAAAAAAATAATATGTATTATTTCCTTTAAATTTTATTCTAATCATTTAAAAAAGTACTTAACCTTAAAAAAATAACTTAAAATATTATAGTTTAAAATTATGTTCTTTTGGTATGGTATGATATCAATGGTTTAATTCCAATACCCCGTAACTGAAAAATCCAAATTTTACAGGAGATGTTTTATTTATTATTTTTTTAATCAATTGATAAATATTAAATTTAGAAAACGTTTTCTAAATTTAATACTTATCAATTAATTTAAAAAAATAAATAAATAAAACATCTATAAAATTTTAATTTTTTGTTAGGGTGTATTTGAATTAAATCGTCGACATACTGGGTATATATTGAGAATATTCAGAATATATACTGAAAATGTACAGAAAATATACTGAGAATATTCAAAAGATATACTAAGAATGTATAGAAAATATACTTAGAATATTCAGAAGATATACTGAGGATGTACAGAGAATATACTGAAAATATTAAAAAAGCGGACATTTGAATATACTGAAAATATACTCAGAATATCTTAGATATCCTACGAATGTTCTCAGTATATCTGAAAAATATGGTTCAATATTCTGAGAATATCCTCAGAATATCATTGTGCTATCTGGGTAACGATGAGTCACGATAAGAATATAATTGAAATCTTAATGATAATTATTTCAAATTTTTTAAATTCTCAAATTTTTATATACATATGTTAAATTAAATTAAATGTAATTTTAATTATGTTTTTATGTTTAATAATTTTCTCTTTCTTATTCATGTTTAATAATTTTCTCTTTCTTATTCATATTTCTATTATTTTTTAATTTTATTAATTTTTATAATAAAAAAAATTGAATTGATTTTTGATATGCAATAGATAACAATTTTTTTTGCGCGCGCGTGTGTGCATTACTTACTAGAGTAAGATGTCGCATCCGGTATAATGGCAATTGTTACGAGGATCCCGAAAAAAATACCGAACGTAGTGTGTGAGAACATATTGTCTGAAAACAAAATAAATTTTATAAAATATAATAAAATCTATAATAAATTATCGACAGAAACATTGTGGCTAAGATATATTTTTCATTAGTCTTTCTCTTTATTACAGATTCAGTCTTTTCTAGTTAAAAAATCTGTAGTTACAGATGTATGTGCAATGGGCAATCAAATTCTTTCTCAGAATTTCTTAAAAATTCAATAAATACATTGAGAAATATATACCAGGCATTCTCAACAAGTAAGAGAGCTTTGCAGATCAAGAAATCTTGTTGTCTATTTTTTTTTATAGCTATCTATTTAGTTCACAAACATCATAAAATTGATTGATTATTGCCTCGTTTTTTCCGATTTTCCTTATACGCGGAAAATTTTACGAGTTGAAACGTCGCACTTCGCACTATTTCCACACCATTTTTGACCTTAGATCGAATGTGACGTCAATCATCCGAAGGAGACTCATTCCACATACACATTCAAGTATACCTCAAATATCACATCATTGCAGCGATCTTTTCACTCACTATTCCAGAACCAAATCACGAAAAACCAGAAATTAATATAAAATATTTTGATCTACTTTTACTTAAAAAGCCATACTAATTACAAAGTTATTTTTTTTTATACATTTTGCACAAAGAGAGATATTAAAAATATTTAACTACATTAATGTTTTTGACTTGTGTCAATGTTCTCCACCATATAATTAATAACATTTTGCAATAAACATCTTTACAATATACATAATATATAAAAATTATTTATTTACTACTATCAGAAACGAATATATTTTGCAATTTCGGCCACATTTGTACACAAACTTTCTCAAAGATAGACTTTATTATTTATATCGATACGAAATTCACAGTGATATATGTCGTTAACATTTTTTATAGAGTTTGTGATAGAATAAAAATGACATTATTTGTTATTGCTCACCTCTTTGATCCTACACTCTTTATGCGTCTGATATATTGTCATTAGCAGCAGTCAGTAGTTGCTGCGTTACTGAAATATACATGAAGTCACGACCATCTCAGCAGGATAGAACTCGGATATACTGGTAAATTGGAGCGAGAGAGGGAAAGCGATAAAACAATGAGTGTGAAAAAGATACTAAAAAGAAAGGTCAAACGAACAGAGTAGGGATAAATGTTCGAATTTTAATTATGCCTCTAGTAATTCACATAGATTTAATGATGTCATTAATCGCTCCTTGACAGATATCTTTTTAGTTGTTGACACGAGTCTATTACAGCTCAGCGATGGTAGAAATAAGACGCTGTTCTCGATTGTGTAAAATCCGTGTCTTATTTCTAGGTTATCGCGTTGCATGCCCCAACATGCTCCTACATGCTCCAATCTATAGTATACGTAACGTAATACTATAGATTGGAGTGTATTGGAGCGAGTAGGAGCATGTTGAAGGATTGCGACACGACAAACCTTCTATCATCATTGGTACAGCTCACACACATAACCTCAGTGCTCTTAAAGTATATCTAGCAAACTTGCATGCACTAACGCATAAGCATATGCATTGGATTGGTATAGTATAAGGAATTGGATTGGTCCATTTCCTTATACCTATGCTTAAGCGCCTATAGAAGTTTGCTTGAAATACTTTTAGGCAGACTACTTTTTTCGCGCACGCGGCCTGCATAAGAACGTTGCATTCTGTCATTGCTGCACATAACCTATACCTGTACCACTATACTGCAAAAAGAGAAATTTAAACAGAAAGCTGGATCTTGTTTAGGGCTAGAAAAATTAAAAATTCGTTATCCATACAATATTTGGGAAGGATTAAAAATATTAGATTTTAAGTCACTGAAGAAGTGCCTACCTCGAGCTAATAGGCACAAAGACATAGTTAATATAGTTAAATAGATTAGTGGAATCACAGAATCAAAAACAAAATAAAAAACCTAACACATACCAGATTAAAGGCACATTAAATACTAGACAGAAAAAAAGAGAGAAATTTAAGAGAAAAGTTGTACATTATCAAAAGTTATTCTTGATCTAAAACAGTAGTTTTTATTCTCATAAAATATATTTCTTTTACCATTTGTGATTGTTATCACAGTAATACGTTGACAGTATTTTCTCAAAACATGTCATCGAGTGAACAACAAAATGTTTTTAAAAATGTGTCTACAGCTTGCAATAATTTTGCAATTCCATTGTACAGGGTATGTCATCAATGCATTCATATTTAATATTTTAAATAAGAATTTCATATTTTATATTGTAAGAATAAACTTAAATATTTTATAAGTTTTAAGTTTTCTCAGACTTGTAATTTATATTTTTTATTACAGAATTTAGTAACAAATATTGACAACAATATTATAACTTCTCCATTAAGCTTATATATGATATTATCCTTACTTTTTAATGGCTCTGGAGGGAGCACATTGAATGAATTGAAGTCTGTTCTTTATTATGATAATGCAATATTTTCAAACAATGAGTTTGAGTCACTGATTTATTTGTTAAAGGTAAAATAATAAAACCGAATATATATTTGTTTCTGAAAGTATTATACAGATTTAAAAATATTACAGAACATTAAAGGTACTGACTTGCGTATAGCAAATGCGATATATATTCAAGATGGATTTCAATTAATGGCTGATTTTCTATCGACATACACAAATGTCTTTCAGTCTATTTCAAGAATAAACTTTGAAAATATCGCATATTCAGTAGAAACTATTAATACATGGGTTCAAGAAGCAACAAATAATAAAATATCTAACATTATTTCTTCGGGTATACATATTGTTTTTTAATTAATGATTAAATGTAGATTAAAATTATATGAAAAAAATTTGAATAATTAAATATCTTAAATAGATAATATTGATGAAGACACAAAGATTGTGTTAGTAAATGCTATTTACTTTAAAAGTAAATGGTTGGATATGTTTGATGAAAAAGATACAACAAAACGCAATTTTTATATTTCCGAAACGGAAACAAATCTTGTTCCGATAATGTTTAAAAAATCGAATTATGTTTATGGTGAAATACCAGCTTGGCATACAAAATTCATTGAAATCCCATACTCGGTAAGTAGATACTTACTGAAAAATTTTCAAACATAAAACTTGATTGCGGAATAACTTTACAGAATCAAGATTTTGTAATGACAATATTATTACCAAACAAAGAGACAGACCTGCAGACTTTGGAAAAAAATTTTAACTGGGAAACATTAGCAAACGCACCAAAATCTATCGATAGAATTGAATTATATTTACCTCGGTTTAAGTTTGAAATTGCTATAAATATGGAAGATGTTCTACGTAAGGTAAGCAATTGACGAAATACGTTTTGAGCCTAATAGTAAACCGTTGAGCGATGCACAAACGCGAAGCATTAGTGGTCATCACTAATAATAGAGAAAAAAAACTTTTACAGATAAAACATTAGTAGATATTGGTAATACATTAGTAGAATTTTAATCAATTGGTTTATTTTGTTTTAAACAAATCGAAAGACAATACAAAAGAAAAAATTTAAATAAATTCCGGAAACTAACATTCGCATTTGTAGATTGGTCTAAATACAATATTCGAAGATAGTGCGGATTTTACACATCTTTCGAGTATTCCTCTGAAAGTAAGTCACGTGGTACAAAAAATTTTCATAGAAGTTAATGAAGAAGGTTCAGAAGCTGCTGCTGCTACAGGTAATTTATTTATTTATAAATAATTGAAGATTGGACCAATACTAGAAATATGATGACAAAGAATGTATTGATTGTAGCTACAGGATTCAGAACGAAAAGGAGTGCAGTTTTACCGATGACGTTTGTGGTGGATCGTCCGTTTCTATTTGTGATTGAACATAAACCAAGCAAATTACTGTTATTTTTGGGAAGTGTACGAAAGATAGAGTCTACTCATGAGAAAGATGAATTATAATTCTATTATAATTAAAAATTGTCAAACTACCATGCTGTATATCTAAAATTAATATCATATTAAAAAAAAAACTAATATATTCTTAATGATACTTTTAACATTATGAAACAGTTGTGTTTTGTTACGAACAATAAAAATCTATTTTATACGTCTTGTACGAAATGTTTAATTCTTTAACTTTGCACTGCCTATACTCGAATTAGACTCTTGGTGCCTTTTTTCGGCTGAAAATAGTCGTTCGGCAATGAAACGCAATTCCTGAGAGATGCGGGAGGGTGTCTACGTGCTTCCTAGAACGAAAAGATCGATAGAATACATGCGCGTCTGGCTACGTCGCGACGCGCACGAATTCTCTCCTGAAACGCAACGCAACGTAACGCATCGCAACGCAGTTTGCGTTGCATACGTTCACTCTCGGATCTGTGAAGTGCGCAGTATAAAAATAAGCGAAATTGTGATACGCGCGTAAACATCCTCTTCGAACTCGGCATTGTGCGAACGTCATTATCACTGCCGTCGTCTCATCACGCTGGAATTAATGCTACGCGCATACTGACCTAGAAACATTAAACCTGACGGGTCGTCATCGTTAATTCTACCCTAGTAGCTAACAAGCTCGGTGAGTCGATTATTTGATCGGATTGCAAAATTATATATAATATACATAGGGATTTGTGATAAAAATAATCCGAATAAAAGATATTCGTTACACAGTTTGGATGGAGCTATAAAGGACGCGTTTCTGAGTTCAACATCTGATCATGGTAGCTATTAAGAATATATAGGTCATATATTAAAACATTAACAAAATCATTAATTTTATAAACTGTTTTATTATTTATTCTGTACCTTGGAGGAAATCTAGACACAGAGTCTTTGATTAGTTTCAAAGTGATTAAATTTTTATGTTTGTATTAGTTTTTATGGAAAATCACATACTGTAATACTATTTATAATTTTTATAAAAAAAGAAACGTTAACAAAATTAAATTTTTTATTTATATTTACGAAAACTTTGGGTAATTTGCGTGAAAGTTTATAAACATATATATATGCTTTATATAAGTAATTGTGGAACTCTTGGCGTCTAATAACGTAGTGACATAAAATTTCGCAAGTACTAACATCATAGGGAAAAATAATAAATAAGTATACTCGAGCCGATTACCTTTCTTATGTGTGCGTTCTAATATTATAATAATAATTTGTCCTCGAAAATGCTCTCTTATATTATAGAATCCGTTTACGTTAAATACAATCGAATATATGATAAGCTTTCTTTTTAGTAATCACAATGCAAGCGGAGAAGAATGATATTGATACAGAAGAAAATAAGGCTGTCAATGACGCCGCAATAGCATCAGTCACGAATGAAGCAACAAATTTAAAAATCGACGATAATTCAACAAATTCGACATCAAGTAGTCCCGGTGGTAACGAATCCGGTAGCTTTTTAACAAGCTTTAAAGCGTTCTCCAAATTCGGTGATCTAAAAAGCGATGGTAAACTGATTACCTTAAGCCAAAGTGACAAATGGATGAAGCAAGCAAAAGTGATCGACGGAAAGAAGATTACCACCACTGATACGGGAATTTACTTCAAAAAGCACAAGTATGTCTTTTATGAAATATATTTATTATATTCACATTTTACTGTTATCCTGTCATCAGATTATGATTAATATAACTACAAGAATCATTTGAAAAGCAATCTTGTAATAAAAGACTGTATTTTTCTTTTTGATATTACTTTTCCGAAATCCAATTTCTCAAGATCTTTAAAGTAGCCGTTTATTGCTTACTTAGGAGCTGCATTAAGAAAAAAGAAATCCAAATATAAATTAATATAATATATTATTCAGATTAATTATTATTAATTTAATATAATAATTATACTTAATTAATTATTTATTTCAACATCTTTTTGTTAACATCTTTTTGTCAATGGTAGATCCATGAAGCTTGGTGTTGAACAGTACAAAGCGTTTCTCGACGAATTGGCCAAAAGTAAGAAAGTAGAATTGACGGAAATAAAAAAGAAAATGGCTAACTGTGGACCACCTGGATTTACCGGTGGCGCAAGTGGAGTACGTATCAAATACATATACATTTATCCCTAAGTTGATATTTTATATTACATTATTGTATCAAAAATAAAAGTGATCAACAAAGCGTATAATATAAGATAATGTATGATTAAACGTAAATATTTTATTAATGTAACACGACGCAAAAGTCGTGCTAAAGTTATGCTAAGGTCGCCGGCAGCAGACATACATTTTTGCGTGAATCATGCGATTGGTTAAAGTATAATATGAATTAACGATTTGCAATGCAATTGCTTGCACTAATTTTTATTTAATAAAATTTGCAGGTAGGGAAGGCGGCGTCGACGGTTGACAGACTAACCGATGTTAGTAAATACACTGGTTCGCACAAGCAACGTTTCGACGAAACCGGGAAAGGTAAAGGCATAGCGGGTCGCAAAGATATGGCAGACACGTCCGGATACGTTCAAGGCTACCAAAATAAAGATACTTACAGCAAGGCTCACTAATATTCATCAGGATACTTTGATGATAAAAATATTTGAGGCCACGTTGTTCGAGCAGCATGCGCACTCAAACTTTCGCTACTTGTAGCGGCTTGAATTTTTCTAACATTTGTTAGGAGTCTGCAGATATTTTGACTATCAACTTTGAAATTTATTTACTTTTATTATCCCCAATATTAGAATGACAATATTGTGATTAATAATTTTAACTAGAATTTTAACAATATGTTCACAGCAACTATATATATCCTTACTATGAAACTTTCACTTTACATTGCATTTTTTATGAACAAGTTTTCCGATAAAAGGCCTGGATAAAAGTTTTTCTCTAATAATTGATTTTTTCTATTAATTTTTTATTATTAATCTTATGTTCTTTTTGTAAATAATACAGGTATTATTATTTTCAATTATAATTTTTAATTAATTTTGTGAGTTTGTTGATGAACATGTTAATGAGTAATAATTTGATGTATATAAAACCACGTACACAATTTATTTACAGTCCATGTAAATATTATTTACATTTATTGTATGATACAATTTTTTTGTTGCATAATTTATTGAAAATTTCTTGGACAAGAATGAATTTTTTTATATTTGTCTAGTTTAGTGAAGTAAACAAATATAATCAAGTTTGATATAAAAATATGTTAATATGTTAATATTACAATTGTGCAACATGGATAAAACATAATATCACTTATTATAAATCTTGCAAAAACTTAAATCAATAATTTTTTAATTAGGATAATATGCACAATTTTTGTATATAAGGCATAAACTTCTTCAACTGAAGAAATAATCATGTTTAACTTTCACCTGATTGCCCATTTATTTATGTAGAAAATATATGTTTGTCTTTCAAAGAGATATAATAAATGTAAGAACGAAAATCATCTACTATATAAAATAATATGAAAGATATTGACATTGTACAAGTGACAAAAAAATATTCGACGTACAATTGGATAAGTTATTTTTTACTCTGTATATGTAAAGAAATGTATTTTTCTTTGTATTAAATATTAATTAAGTGCATTCAAGCAAGCTTATTAGGTGTGCATTTCAATTTATCAGCTTATACGTTGTTCTCTGATGTTTCAATTACACGAGTATATGTATGACGTTAAGTTCTTTACTTCAAAAACATGATTTGTACATTATAAACACGTGATATACATATATATACATATACTTGAGTGAAGTGTACTTACCGTAATTTTAAATGGTTTAATTATAATAACAAAGAAATGCAAATACATTTTTTATTTTTCTACTTTTTTTTTTGTTTTGTTTGTTTATCAGACGTTAGATAAAAATTAGATAAAATGTACAAAAAGAAGCGGTAGCGTCAAAGATTTATCAATCAAATCAAAGATGCGCTATGTGCGCGGAACAGCATGCGTCAAATATTTTCCGTGCATTTAGAATTATGTCTAAATAAGCAATTTTTTGGTCAATATTGACCAGCAATATTGACAATGGTTACTGAATATCCTGCATTATAATAATTGACCAATATCGATTAATATATTATAATTTGTTTCTCTAATATAACAGAGCGAATGATTTTTTTAACAATTCGATTGGTGAATTTTACTGAATAATGCGCGACAAATAAACTGTCATGCTTTTGTTAAAAATGATTAATACAAATAAATCTCAACACGATTTACCTCTATACTTTCAATAAGTTTACCACTTCTTCTCTTGTTGTTTTCTCACTAATTCTCATCTTGCCACTGTCATGTCTTTCCTTTTTTTTCATACTAACATAGCTACGTAAATCCGAATTAATGAAAGAGTAGTGCAAGAGAAAAAATGGTAGCATGGATAAGAGCGATCAACCGTGTGGAGACTCAACTATAAGATTTTAGAGGATGTTATATAAAAAAATATATCTTAAAGATTATTAAACTCTACCAAACGATACGAAAGTTATTTAAAAAAAATGCTCTTGAACTCTCACTTTAAAGACGGATATTTCAAAAGTGCATTGTAAGAACAAATTTTATACGAGAACTTATGGAATTATTATTATCTGATCTACACATTATTGAGAGATTGTCCATTTTTATTAGAACACCTAATATATTTTTATTGCTCTAAAAATATTTTTAATCGGCAAGATACGTACAGACAGGTATAAAAATACTAAAAAAAGAATTTTCAAGTACATATCGCATCCCTGCAAGAAAAGTGACAAAAGTCAAAAATATAAAATTGTTCCTGATTGAAGGCCGATATATTTAGAACACAATCCGCACATAATACGAAATTCGAAAAATTTCGACATGTGTCACTCTTCTTGTGAGGGTGCGATATAACTCGTAGGATAATTGGAAACAATATAGCTAATAGCATTAACTATAAATTTTTGTTTAAAATTGATTTTAAAGTATAATCGCATTTCATAAATTAAATATAGTATAGATGATATACTTGTCAAAATATTGTAAAGCATCGATAATTTTAAAAGCGAGTTGTGAGTGTTCGCGTTAATACAAATCCGTACAAATTGTTCAACAATTATATTCTCAAGTTTATCTTGAGTAAAAAATTAAATCTTGAGCTATATAATAGGATATAAATTTGATCGAATTAATCTCTCGCGTTGAATTTTCCTACAACGCTAGGAAATAGATACATAAATCTATATAATAAGTTATTCAAAAATATAAAATATATGTAAAAGCTGCGCGTTATCCGTCTCAAAAAGCGTAATTGTGTTAGAGATGTACTTAAAATACAAGGATATAATAATTTTTTTATTGTTCGACGAATTTTTATCACTCAATTTTCAATATTCGATAAGGCACAAAGTGTGAGATATGTAAATTTTTACAGAGAGGTTTAAATTGGAATAAAATTTATTTGGCCGTTTTTTGAATCCAGCCTTAAATTATATCACGCATTAATAAAATCGTAAATTATCATCGTCGTTATTATTGTTACTATGTTTGTATCGATTTGCCCTAATTTATTCGAGTATTTTAACTAGATATTGTTACAGTTCTGTAAGAGTATCCACTGACGCCCGTAGACGAGATGTAACGATGCAATCATCGTGTCCTTTACTTGTTCCGGCATCATCGATCCGAGAGAGAATCTCATCCTTCAAAGTCGTAAGTACTTTACGATCTTGTCTATTGTGAATTGGTGCATTTTGCAGAGCTTCCTGAACATCCGATAGAGCGTCTTTAAACAAACCCAAATTGACGTGCGCTTTGGCTCTAGCATAAAACGCTTCGTAAGACATGGGTCGAATACTGAGAGCTTTGTCAGCAAGTTCGATGGCTTCGTTATATTCCTGTTAAAGAACCATGTTTTATATTTATCGATGTGAAAATAACATAGATATTTGTGATTCTTTTAACTTTTAAGCAATAAAAATGTTTATTGTAAAAAATGCTTCTATGAAAAAAATAATTAAATTTATCTAAAGAGTGTATATTTCATATTTTTTTAGAGTGTTGAATTTCAGTCTGCCATGAAAATTTTGATTCTAAATCGTGAACGTCGACAGTTAAAAAACACCTTTTTTTTTAAATGATACACATGTATCATGTGTTATGGTCTTCAAAGTATATATGCACATGTATATGCGTCATTAATACTTAAAGAATTAATGTAGACATTTAGTATTATATATAAGCTACGTGAATCGAAAAGACTGAATTACTAACGTTCATCTTGCGCTTGCATCGGCTGAGATTTAGAAGAAAATTCATCCGAAGCTGCGTAAGAGTATGAAGTTGCAGTATTATGTGACTTTGTTCCTGGTTTTGGCAATCTTCTTCCGGTGAAACTGGGAACTTCCTGAGAGCATACACGTATCGATGCGACGCTTCCTTTAATCTGTTCTTTCGATACAAAACATTGCCGTCTTCCAACAGTTTATTTAGCAGGATTATTAAAACGTCGGGTTTTCCTGCCGCCATGGTCCATGTAGCGGGACCTAATTTAGCACCACGACGCAAGAAGCATTGAACCACTGGTATATTGCGACACCCGACAGCTCTGTCAAGAGGTCGCATGCCGTGAAGATCGACATGTTCCACCGCGGCTCCCTTCTCAAGTAATAGTTGTACCAATTTTGGATTACCCTATGTGTAGTTTTTATGAATATTAGATTACAAATACTGACAACATGACAAACGACAGAAATAGTGTATGTAGGTCGAAAGAAACATCCACCTGGAATGCTGCTAAATCCAAAGGAGTTCTCCCAGTATTGTCATTCGTATTGACATCGGCGCCGCGGTCGAGTAATATTTGTACAGCAGCTAGGCGTCCTCGAATGCAAGCCCAACAGAGAGCAGTGAGTCCTTCCTTATCTTTCGTTTCTATGATTGATCCTTTATCAAGGAATAGTTCCACCAGATTAATGTGACCTTCGGAAGCGGCCATCATTAACGCAGTACGATTAGCAAAATCGCGTTGTTCTAAAAGCGATATAGCTTCGTCCAACATTGTATCCGTACTGGTGGATAGATTTCCTGTGAAATGATTCTACAATTGTAAAGCCGGTCTCTCTGTGATCGAAATTTTTGATTGTGAGTACAGATTGATAGTGGATCTATCAATGCGCTAATGAAACTTGAGCTTTACACGACCGCGTGACTTTTAGACTTGTAATTTTAATCAAATGTACCAATAGCGATGTTTTCAGTACGACATTTTGCACTTTGATTATTTTTTTGTGCATAAAGTTTTTTCTAATAAATAAAATCTTGAAATAAACCTTGCAAAAGCCTTTCGGCGGTACCCCAGTGTCCTTCTCTGGCGGCGAGCATGAGAGGAGAAAGGCCTTTCGCGTTTACAATTGTGGGATTAGCACCGCGGGCCAAAAGTGCGGAAACCGTCGCGGTTGAGCCGTTTGCAGCAGCGATTGTTAGAGCGGTTTCGCCTGTCAATGTGTCAGGGTGATCCACAATCACCTCGGCCATATCTAGAAGATACTCTACGACATCTTCGTGGCCTTGCGACGCAGCTCCGACAACGGCTTGTTGAGCGGCTTCCTCTCGGTCTATTTCCGTGGTGCCATTCTCCATTTTGCTTTCATCGGCTGGCACAATCCAATCACAAGCGAGAAGATAGCCAACCACGGATAATCTTCCGTGCCTTGCCGCATGCACCAAAGGACACTGGCCGGCCATATCCGCGTGCCCTAATGACGCTCCAGCGGCAACCAATCTGTGGAATATATCACAGTAAGCAATTGCATTATTTTCACGCATATGACACGATATACCTCCCATTTGGTAATTTAAATGAGGACTTGATTATTTCAGAATCTTGAATCTTTTTGTATATTTATTCAATTCTGAAATATTGCATATACTTATTTAAGATAAAACATGTATAATTGTACCTTCTGACAACGTCGCAATGCCCACGGGTAGCTGCCAGCGAAAGCGCGGTACAACCTTGGCTATTAGTCAGTTCGACATCGGCACCAAATTCCAGAAGGAGGGACACCATTTCGACGCAACCTTCGTACGCGTACATACATAGGATCGGTGCGTTACCGAGATATTCGGTAATGTGATTCGGAGATGCACCTGCCAGCAGAAGCAATCGCGATACCTTTACGTTTGGGCTGTAAATGTTCCGAAGCATGCACAACGCCGAGGAGATGCATTCGGACGACAAAGTCAGCCAAATAGCCTAAAGACGAATACAGTTTGCTTAAATTCTTGCCGTATTTATATATTTATATATCAATTTGCTGCCATACGCTTATTGTATTAAATAACAAATAAAATAGAGAAAGAAAAAATAAAGACTTACCTGTAAATCACGCGAAGGCCAGCACGGAGCTGCGTTTCTATAAACATGTGCCTTTAATACGTGGTGACCGAGTTCCAAGACTTTGTCACCGTCCAATGGCACTTCAACACGGGATAATCGAAACGCTATTGCCGCATGTCCGAGTCTATAGTCACATAGGAATTTGGTTGATTCCCCCTCGTCCCTTCTGATCAACCATTCCCTGAACGATGGATGGAAGAACATGTACGTATTGTCCAAGCGTTTTACAAGAAAACCAGAGAGCATCTGATGAAAAAAGAGTAGCGCGTTAAATGATACGGATATAATTACATGTAAATATATACATATTATTATATATATATAAAATCCAAAGATACGCATAATTATGAAACCAAGATATCATGGTAAAAATGAGCAATCTTTCAATAATATACTTGCCTTAAATCTCTGTAAAAAGTCTTCCCACGAAATAAAATTGTCAGTTATTAGAGAATTTACAGAATAAAAGATTTCGAGTAGAGTCAATGGATACAGAGCTGCTAGACAAACAGCCAGAAGAGGTTGCACTTTGTCAAATGAAGCTGCAGTAGGAAACCTCAGATTAAAATGCAGCAGAAAGATCTGCGCGAGAGAAACTGGTAATACCTAATAAATAAAATATTAAATTTCACTTTTCAGTGTCTTTTTGTAACATTGAAGTAATAGTAACTTAATCCCTTAAGTGTTGAAAAATGAAAACGCTATTTTCACAAAAATAATTTCTGTAAAAAAATCTAATTAAATTTACGTATTCGAATGTGTATTCGCGGTTTTTTAGAACTGCTCAATTTAAATTTGTAGTAAAAGTTTTGAAATTCCGAGAAATCATGATATATCCCAATATAGCAATTAAAATTTGGATCAAGAGATTTTATGTGAAACTTTTTCAGAAAGTCGCTTTTTAAATTATCTATATTTACGTCATTAACACTTAAGGGAGTTAGTTGTGTTTATATTTCATTCAATTATATGTATATTGGAAGATATACTTGCACGTACATTGTAACTCGTAGATTTAGCGACTAAATGCCCGCTCTCGATAAAATCAAGCGTCAGCTTGGCAAAAAGAAAACTACCTCTGGCTAGCGTGAGTAAGTGCGAAGCGAATCTTGTTTGATTCGCGTTGCATGATGATTCCATCTTGCCGTTTATTGATGCACTTATATTCGCTTGTATGGAAGGACTCTGTGCGATTCTATAACCAATATAATCGGACAAGTCCTTCGTGATACTACTTCCAATCGCATCGTTTGCAATCTTATCTAATGAGATCCTCATGTATGGTAGTTGCTTCGCGCAGTTCAACAATTGTGTTCTGACCGTGCAAACGATCTTTAACCAATCGGGAATGTTAGATGCATGCCTTGTCAATAAAGAAGCTATAGTATCACCTTTGTCCGGCCTGTGATACTCCGCTTCACAGATGGCATCGATTAATATTACCTGAAAACAAAGTATGTCGAGTAAAACACCTAAAACATAATAAGTATACATCTCCACACAATGTAACATAACGTAACGTGACATTTTATCAAGTGTAAAACTTATTTCAATGAATCAACAATATTGTAAACTTAAAGATGAATCACATGTTAAAACATTGACAAAACCGCTAAAAGAAATTTATATATTATATAATTATTTATTTTAAATATCTGTGCAAAACATAGGCATAGAGTATTAACATTTAATATTATACAATACAATTTTAATTGTTTGATTTCTCAGTTTTTTATAAGAGATGAGAAATACTTTGTTTTTAAATTTTGAGAACTTTCAGCTAATGTTATACAGCCATTTCGTTTATTTACCATATTCGAAGCTGGAAGTCTATTAGCTTTCTTCAAAGTTAAAAGTGGTTCGATGATGCCTCTCGAGAGTGCAAGATCCGGATCGACGGTGCATTCTCTTTGCGATAACGAGCCCTGAAGATGAGGCTCGGACAGAAGATATTCCCTATATGAGATCAATTGAGGAGCTTGGCAGAGTTGCGCTGCTAGCGAGTGAATTAAATCCGGCACCAAACAGGTACTGTTATTGTCTGCTTGGCAAAAGTGATAAGCCACTACGTGCGATGCTAATTCGCGAATCTGCAATGTGATATATCCGACTAGTGTATCATCTTACTAATTGTACGATAAAAAAGAGAAAATTATTATATATTATATTTTATATAATATTATTGTTATACAGATTACATTATTCCATAAAAAATAGATAACACTTTTAGACTTTCAACATTCTGTAGTTTGATAAAAAAAATGTTCTCGAAAAATTTATGACAAGTGTCAAATACTACCTACAACATTTTATCTAGAAAATGCTCGTTTTAAAATTTGGCTACGATTTTTTTTGGCCAAGTTACGCAACTTTGAAACTAAACCTGCATTTTTTACGTTAATGTTAATTTAAAGTCGTGCAACTCCGCCGATTTTAAGGCGTCTGAAAAGTGTTTCTTATTTTTTGTGGAGTAGTGTAATAAATATAAAAAATAAAAAGCATTAGAAAAAACACTAATTCCATAAACACCTTTTCGTTAGTATATCGAATGTTTGCTTGCAGGGTCGCGTTATTGCCCTGTTTCTCCTTCTCGTTGCATTCTTCGTTCACTTCCAAGGGTTTCAACTGTTCTCTTCTTCTTCCGAAGCAACTATGTTCTACTAATTGTAAAATAAGCGCGGTTTTTCCTGTGCCCGGCGATCCAGAGATCAGGATGCCAGGGCTGGAGCCGTTGATCATGCATTCTAATTCGTGCAACAACCATTGTCGTCCCGCGAAGAGTGGGTCCTCTTCCAATAATGGCACCTCGAAAAACAACGGCTTCAGAGTTAACTGCGTCGCATGAACAAAACGCACTGAAATCAATATGAAACTTTATTATCTTATTATTCTTGTTTTACATACAGCGTGTTCCAAATAAAGAATAAATTAATCTTCGTGAAAAATCTATCAAGATTGCTCAGTCTCTAAGATTGAAAGTATTGAATTCAAGTATAAAAATTACGTTTGGCATCGATTGATCCTTTGACGTTGCCGGTTCTTGCTGATCTCCGGACGCAAGATCGTCTGTTTTTCAACTGGCCGAAATCATTGGTCTGGCCTGCTTGGGTTGTGTTAACGGAATGTCTCCTGGGCGTAAGTGGACTGGAGCTGCCGTTTGATAGACCAGAGACGGACACGGACATGGACATGGACATCGAAGTGGACGTGGATACCGATGCCACACTGCTAGTACTGTCGCAGTCTCTAGATTTGGCTTTACTTTTGGCCTTGATTTTCGGCTTGACAGGACATCGTAGCGCGGCGTCCGCTTCGCTCGACGTACCCGTCAACGTCGACACCGGGCTTGTATTCGTTGACGTCAACATTTGCGCTTCAAAACTGGTTAAACTACTGAACGAGGCCGCGGAGCTGTCATGTCCTTGTATCGGAGCTTGTGAGGAACATGTGTCCGGTTCCGCATTCGCGTTCGCTCGACCGGATCCCAATAATAAGCCCAATTTCATGTACAAATCCGACTGCGACGACTTCTTAGTTTTCGAAGATAGTGGTTTCACGCAACCGCCCTCGTCGTCTATGGAGATAAGTCGAAAAGTTGATTATGAATACTGGTATGATATAGCGATATAAAAACAACCAAATCAAATTCACGAAAATGCTTCGTGCTATGTACTTAAGAACCAACGTACAGAAAGAAAATCACACTCTACTAGGAAATGCAGTCAATTATCTTTCAACAATTTTAATAAGCTTTTAACATGTTGCAGTGTAGATCAAAATAAAAGACATATAAGTACTACATCGCACATTAAGTGATTGAAATCCTTTTGAAATAAAATTAACATGATTCTGAGAGAATAGCATCGAAACGGAAGATGGATATTTCAACTAAAACTTGTGTGATTTTTTAAATACTTAATAATAGTGCATTTTCGAAAATTTTTCCAAACTTTTTGCAATACATAACAATTTTGTAAAATCTAAATTTTCATACAAATTTTTGCATCTTGATGTTTCAAAGATATTTCCTAAGATTTTGCTTCAATGTAATATTTTCTTTCGACGCCTTAATGTACGATTGAACACAAAGTGTGCGTATCATGCTCTTAAAAAGAGATGTCACGAGAAATATTATTGAAAGGCAAATCTTCGCATTAGAAAAAGGGTGCGAATGTTCCGTGTCGACAGACACAAATTCAGATTTGCGCGTGACAACTCTTGAGATTCTTCCACATACATTCGCAAACTCTAGCATGTTGAACATGTCTCAATGACAATACACGTCAGATTCTAAAAAGTCTTCCTGCCTGCAACTTTATTCGACGAACCGATCAGCTGATTCAGCCCGTCATTAGCCGTGCCTTGACTGCTACTCCATAAGGATTTGATTTTTCCTAGGACAACGCCAGGCCATTTCGCTTTTCCTTCCCAGGATGAGGTCATCCAAACTGTGTAGGTGCTTGACGTTATAAAGGTATTCGACGCGATTTGAATCGATGATAAATTTGGCTTTTTGAAAACGAAAGTGACATTTGAAGATTCATAGCTAATTTGAAATGAAAAATGTATACCTGATAATGCAGAAGGATTGTCATTCGCAGTCGGTTCGGGTGAAGATGCTGTACGTCTCGAAGATCTCTGAGCAGCAAGCGAACTTCTGAGCATTTTTGAGTTGAGAAAGAATCTTCTTCGTTGATTCGGCGGTGTTGGACAACCTGTAACATCGTTCTGACAATTAACTATCATCAAGTCCAAGAAAGCACTGGTTTTTCTTTTATTTTTTTATACATTTTCACTGGTTATTGAAATATTCATCGGTAATGCTTATTATTATTTGTAGGAAATAGAATTTATATAACAGTTTTTAATTGATAGAGCAGTCTTTTAGCAAAAATAATTATTTTTTGAGACCTTAAATCGAATTCTAGAAAATGGAAAAAAACAACGATTTGCACTTTGCCGAGAATTGTTTGTCTGATTGACGTACTTTGCGTCATTTCAAGTTTCTGCTGATCTTGAGAGATAGATGGATCTGGAAGTGATGGAAATTTGGTTTTCAAATTCTTCACCATCGCTGCCAACGAAAGATTATCTTCTTCACCTCGCTGCTGAAAACAAAATAATAAACGATGAAGAAGATTGATTATTTGTGCGATCAGTGTAATAAATAAAAAGATAATAACGAGAAATTCGCATTTTTCTGTAGCATTCCATGCTTTTTCTTCCTTCATAAATAATTATTTTTTCTTTAATTGTATTTTTAGTTAATTAGAAATACAGCAAATGAGAGAATACTCTTAACAATTATTATAAATATTTAGAGCATGTCGTTTCATATAAGAAACGAAGCTAAATGTATTATGTTAGTAGAGAAAACACTTTTCAGACGCTCAAAATTGAGCAATCTTTTCGAATCTTTTGCTCGAGTTTCAATTTAATTGTAATAATGTTATTTCGAGACAAAACTAGAGGAAAAGACAAAAGAGAAGCAAAGAATTTGTCATGTAATTTCTTCTTTTCATCATCGCAGCAATAGACTTACGTGCATAACTCGCGATGGCAAATTCGCCCTCGTAGTGATTTTAATGCGTGGTCTAGGGCTGCCGCAGAGAGAATTCACCGTCGATGACTCACCGAGCCAACCGTCCGTGGGCGCGAAGACGGACAGTGAAGTCGCGAAAGCAGCACACTCGTCTCTTAAAGATAGTTCTTTCAGCCCGTCATCGCCGTTAAAATCATAGTCGCGCAGACAGAGCGGACAAGCCTCATTGCAGAATAGACAGGAGTAGCAACGCTCATGGCCGCAGGAGTCGATCAGGCGACGTTTCTTGCCTTTATCAAACGGCATCTCGCAGGACGGGCACGTAGATCCGCCCAGCATCCCAGTCGATTCGACCAATGCTTGTATCTGCGCCAAGTCTGTAAAAAACAAACAGCTATTTCATGCTTACTTTAATTAATAATCTTGAAATTATATACAATTTATCAATTCAGAGTTGTCGCGCAATTTAATTAGAATCTCTCTCTCTCTTGAGAGAGAGAGAGAGAGAGAGAGAGAGAGAGAGAGAGAGCGCGCGCGCGCTAGGTATCAAAATAACAAAAGGTAAATACAAAGTACGAGGAGTAAATCAGATGTTAAAAATTAACTTCTGATAATATGGATTAACTAATAATAAGAATTTATTTCTCTGTGGAGCGCGGCTTCATAGGAAAATGGAAAGAGAG